GGGGAGAGAGAGACAGACACACTAACAAGACAGAGACAAAGAGGGAGGGAGGGAGACAGAAGGCTGAAGGAGATATTACGCGTGTGCTGTCTTGTTTTGTTGTTTCAACGTGCTTGAGGAGCTGGGGACAGGGGCAGGCACTGTGGAACCCCAAGCACAACGACGGTAGTGTGGATAAAAAGAGATCACTCCCTGCCGAAAACAGGAGAAGAAGAACAACAAGCAGAACAACTGGGTTATCTCCGATGGACGTCGCAGCCCGAAAAAACTGGACGAAAACCATGCCGCCGCTGGTGTTGATGTGTACATTGCGTGTCTGTGTCTCCCCGTGTCGGTCCGCTCTCCTAGATTACTGCCAGCCTTGCGGGGCACGCGTGCAGGCCAACCTGTGCGTGGTTTTGGTGAACCGTTGCAGGTTGCTTGGCTGTCGAGGGAGCGTGAGTCTATGTAGCCTGAGTCGACATGCTGTGGTATATTAGACAGTACATTCAGGTTCGCCATTTTTCTTTTTGGTTCGGTGTGGGTCGCCGGGCTCTTCGAGTGCAAACGCTATCGGCTTTTTGGGTTGTTCGAGGTTGGAAAACGTCAGGGATGGTAGTCAGCCTTTCGAACTTTCTTGTTCCTCTTGCATCACACCTTCGATGACAACGTGCTCTCATGAGTCCACTCGAGAGGGCAACCTTGTATGTCTCACGTGTATTGGCCTACTTTACTTGTTTCGGAGTGTCCTCCGACGGCACGCTGTGTATGCGATGGAAAGGAAAGGGGAAAAGGGAAGGGGGAGGCTCCCGTTTGACCTTCTTGTTGGGGCAATAGACACACTTGCTGTGTCATGTTTTTGCGCGACGAGATCCTGCCGCATGGTCTTCGGAATGGGATTCCGATTGTCGTCTGCTACGTAGCCACGCTCGCGCATCCCTCATCGTGTGCTTCGTTAGGCTGCGGCTTGACTCTCTGTCTCACTCTTGATGCCTGCTTCACGCCTTGCCGCTTCTTTTTTTGTCTCTTTTTCGGTCACGGCGCTTCCGTCGCCGGCAACGCACACCGATCTCCAAAGGTGCACGTTTCGGATGCGAGATCACCACTGTGTGTGGGTGGGGCAATGCGTCGCCGAGCGGAACCGGCGATCGTTCTTGGGTTTCCTCATCTTGCTGGCGGGAATGTCGTTTTGGTTCTCCCGCAGGGAGGTCATGGCTCTGTCATCTGGGGAAACGGGTGCCTGCCCTGACGACGGACGAGCATGCAAGCAGGTGAAAAACGAACCGCAGACGCGCGTGCGTGTGTGTGTGTGCGTGGTTTTTATTGTTGTGAGCATCGACCGACCGCGCTAGCCGGCTGGCCGATTAGCTGACGTCAGCTTCTCAGTGCCCTTTCGATGTGATGTGTGTGTGTGTGGTTTTTATTGTTGTGAGCATCGACCGACCGCGCTAGCCGGCTGGCCGATTAGTTGACGTCAGCTTCTCAGTGCCCTTTCGATGTGATGTGTGTGTGTGTGTGTGCGTTCGTCCCAGTTATTGTGGCGTCAGTCTGCACACCTTTTCAGTGCACATTTTCTGACGTGTCAGCCGAGGTCACACGGGAGAAGTGCTGCAGTTGTTGTGTGGTTTAGAAATGATGTGTGCTCTGTAGCCGCAGCAAACACGTATCTCCGGCACGCGCCGTGGCAGAAACGACGGTTTCAAGGTTGGCTTCGGTTTAGGCTAGCTAGGAATGGAATGGCACGCACGCACGCCCTTGTTTTGATGTGCGATATACCCAAGATGTGCGTATAAACCCAATCGACCGTATTTGCGGTGCACGTGTCACTGGGTATAAAATGAGAATTGAGCTTCTACATGTCCGTCATCGTTTCGGTACCGTTGTCTCTTCAACCTTCTCAATCTTGGGAGGTTTCTCACCCAAATCCGAATTAGCAGTTCCCCGTTTGCTGACCACCCGAAGAAACACTCGACAGATCGCAGCTGTACGTGTATGTGTGTACTATCTTATTTGTTTGCGGTTGGTGCGGTGCTTGCTGGACACACTCTTTTTCCCTGCGAGGTAACTTGATCGTCCTACTCCATTTTTCTCTTTTCCGTGACGCGGATCGATCTCCGCCATCGGTGTTCGTTCTCAGGCCGTGTGGCCGCACGTCTTGCGCCACCTTTTACGGACCAATCGCGGCGGCGAAGATGTCGGGGTGGCTATCTACGTGCTCACGGCGGGCTTGCTCGCAACGGCGCTCGCTGCGCAGGTGCGCGCGAAACGCCAGTATTTTCTTGCGGTATTGTTTCCCGTTGCATGACTCCTATCCTACGGCTCGTCTGCTGTAGGAACATTTTACGTGCACCTCGCGCGGAAGCGGCGTGGTGAAGTCCGGTTCATCCTTTTCAGGTTTGGAATGCTTCGAGGTAGCGTGTCCATTCGCTAGTTTCCATCCACCTCCTATCTATCTCTCCGTACCAGTCGTGTACCTGGTATTCTAGTTGGAAAGGGATTTATTGCTGCTTCCCAGAGGCTTGCGGAAGGAAGTCGTAATCGAGCACCTTCATCTTCCGTCCCTTAGCCACTACTTCGTATGTTTTCCCTTCGTGGCTTCCCTCCCTTGCCCTTCGGTAGCAATTTTTTCTCGTGAGCGCCGGCTTGACGTCTCTTGAACTGCGGAGGGCACGCAAGTCGCCAGTTCTGTCGCACGCCCGTCGCGACAGAGGCGGTACCAGCTCCGCCGACCGTTCCGCGGGCCGTTCCGCGGACTATTCACGGTCTTGGCAGGGCGGCCGACGCCCCCCCGCACCGGGGTCGTCTCTTGCACCACCACCGTCATCGTCAACAGCAACAGCAGCAGCAACAGCAGCAGCAACAGCAGCAGAAGTCGCGGCAGTTGTAGGAGGAACCCACCAACCGCGAGCCCCCCCGCCGGCCCGTTTCGTCTCTGCCCGAGGTGTTGTTGGCAATTGGGCGAGGTTCTTGACGGGCACCGAGCTCCCTAGCCTGCGGTAGACGCCAATCACATTCTAAAATTCATCGCCTCAGCGGGCGGCGGCGGCGGCGGTAACAACGCGCAGAGAGGGGCGGGGAGGGCACCCACTGCCCCAGGCGGCGGTGAAGTCGTTGCGAAGGAAGTGGTTGTCCGGGCCTCAGCGTGTAGACAATAGGAGCACCTACCTGTTGGTTTGGTGGTTGCGCTGAGATGCACATGTCATACTGCTGTTGTGTTGGCTCTCTTCGTGGGAGGGTGTTGTTGGGCAGAGTTCGTGTTTTCTGCAGCACTCTGTGGTGCACTCTGTGGTGCTCTGTGGTGCACTCTGTGGTGCTTGTAACTTCCAATTTAGGATGGAACTCGTCGCTGGACGTTGCATAGTATACAAAGGTTGACGCGAAATTGCGAAAGAGCAATTGGGAGGACAGACTATCTATCGGCTTGAACATGTCGATCCACCGGGGCGAAGGTCCAGAGGGTGAAATTGCCCGTTTTTTTTTGTCGTTGATACTCACATCAAGTCAAAAAGGAAAACAGGCGGATGTACATGTGGATGCGTGCACCCATCCATGGAAGGAAACGGAATTTAATTGGAGTCTACTACTATTTAGTGGTAACTACAGTACTGCTGTCTGTGTCTGTGTCGGCCATTATTGTCGGTGTTGCCACGCATGTATGTATGCGGGATTGCATAGGGTTGGGAAGGGCACGCATTCCCGCGCCTCGACCGTAGAGGTTTTGGGGGGCAGCATGGGATCTATTCTGGCGCAGCACAGATACGTCTGGTATTACATACTCCGAGTACGCCGAAAGGCAGGCCTGTGTAACCCGGCGCCACAATAGATGGGACGAACACGCACACGGTAGTAGAGTAGACTCCCACATGACGCTTAGTCACAGGGTCCCAGATTGTGGCGTTCACCAAGTATTTTGTGTCTTCCACCGCACTACTTCTGAGACTGACGTATTTTCAGTTCGTTCACCAGTTAGCGCGGTCGATGCTAATACATACACACACACGTGTTGAGTGTTCTGTATCCCGAGAAGGTATCAGCCATGTTGTTAGTTGTTGTTGTTGTTGTTGTCTCCAATTGTTTTCGGTCGCTGCCGAATAGCACATGTACCGTACACCCGCCGAACCGGTCAAACGAAGCGGGCACGAGCGAGAGGAAGGGGAGACAGATGAAACATACGAGACCGCACAACCAACCTTGAACGATCAATAACCTGGTTAACGGGGGAACATAGCAACTATTCGCTATTCAATTCACCAACATCATCGCAAGGACGTCGCACATTATTGCACGCTTTTTTCCTGGTTGGGACGGCGAAGTCGGTTGCCAAGACGCAGGGCGGAGCGGGGGCAAACACCCCCCTAATGTCCGTCCCCAGCCGAACACGCAAACTTTGCTTATACATGACGGAAGCAGCGTGTGCACCGCACCCTATCCCTTCGGCTTCAGACGGGGTAAAGGAGATTGATCTCCGATCGGGTCACCTGACACGTCACAATCTACGATACATATTCATGACCCAAAAAATAACATCCCGGAACGCGGGGAGTCTCTCTCTCATGACATTTGCGAGCATATCATATGCATACCAAAAATAAAAAAAATTCACGCGCATGCACCAAACATGTATAGTACGCACGCTGCTCAACGGCGACAAAGTCCCACTACTGTGTGCGCATGGGTGTCAGTGCGCGACCCGCTGCTGCTGCTATACTCGTAGCTTCGCAGTGATGTCCTCCCTCTTATGGCGGCAAATTTCTGGACAGCTCGTTATCGATACAAACCCCGGGGATGATACCAAATAATCCCCGCCAAAAAAAAAAACATTGAACACGGCGGCGAGAGCAAAGTACGAGGTTGGCGCACACAGGCGCGGGGCGCGGAAAACGATCTTGTGAGGAGAGCAGCTGCCGGCCGCGTCTATCTCGGCGTTCGGTACCCGTGGCTTCCATGCCCGGTGGACCTGGAGTAGGGAGAGAGAACAGAGAACAACGCGACTGCTGTGTTGTCGTTCAGATTTCGGAGAGAAAGAAGGTTGGGGAGTGTTCGTTCGTGTGTTTTCGGAAAAAAAAAACTCTCCTTGCCCCCGAAGGTCGCGACGAATCCGCGCGGGCTTGGGGGGGAGAGGGGGAAAGAAGCCCAGGGCGCGAGCGTTGCCACGAAACGGGCGGGTTGTGAGAGGTTCAGCGACAAGCACGGGAAGGTGAGATCCTGTGCTCAATGATCGTGAGAGGGAAAACAAGTCTGATGTCCAGATGTGAGCCAGGGCGTCATATGGCGCAATGATGAACGCTCACCTTTTCTTTACTTTTTTGCTTCCTGTTTGCGCGCCGCATGCCATGCACACCGCCTCGCTATTGAAGCAAGCCTTGCCTTCATGCGGCTGCTTTGCTCTTTTTCTCCTGTAAAGTAAACCGAGTTTGTGTTTCGCTCCCTCCTGAGCAGGTGGAACCGCGCTATCGCGTGCCGCACTGGACTCAACTACTGCGGCGGTTCCACGATGATAACCGAGAAACTCTGGTTGCTTTCATTTTCTTCAAGAAAAAACCAAGCTGGCTTCTTCGAGAGCATGCTGGTGTTCAGGGCGCACCCCTTTGCCGCCAGCAGCCGTCTGTGACGGAGCAATATCCCAGATGCTCTATCCAACACGAACCTGCTGACTGCCGCACAACGCCCTCATTTTCACCGCCGACGCGCTGCGCTGTCGTTGATTTTTCGTCAATGTTCTCAGAAGAGTATAACGAACACATGTCGTTTTTTGGGACACCCCCGTTTGTCTTTTCCTCTCTTGGTTGTTCTCAGACCCGCGCCGTCGGCAGGAAGAGGAGAGCGGTATTTGATGTATATGGTCTCCCACGAGGGGCCGCACCGGGTACCTCCTGACACAACGGCGACATGCGGACCGGAAGGTGATACCGGCGCAGAACACCTGCGGACATGGGCGGCGCCGACACCACCGGTAGTCGGGAGCAGCGGCAGCAGCGTTTCTGGCAGCAGCAGCAGCAGCAGCATCAGCGGCGACGGAGCCCCGATGTCAATCCAGCCGCAACAGCAGCCGCAGCCGCAGCCGCAGCAGCCGCAGCATCACCGGCAGCACCAGCAGCAGGAATGCAACCTCGAGGAACGGTTTCGTCAGCAGGTCAACATCTCGGGAAGCAGCGGCAAGACCAACCACTGGGTCCCTCTGGGACAAGGTGCAAACAACATGTATCCCGGCGGCGGAGGCTCCCAGCAGCAGCAGCGCCGACCGGAAGCAGCAGCAGCAGCAGCAGCGCTGCCGGCCGCAACCACCCCGGCCGCCGCGTTTTTGGATCAGCACCTGGCGGCCGCGCCGCCACACGGCAGAGGCGGCGCTGAGGGGCGACATAGACCCACCGCCACGGCCGCTCCCGCGTACAGGGTGGGCGGTGCCGGCATCGAGAACAGGTGGCCATCGCTGTTGGCCGTCGTGCCTGCTACTAGCGCTGTGGCTCCGCCTCCCACCGCAGCCGCCGCCGCTGCTTTTGCGGGGCAAACACCGCCTTCCGTCATTGGGCCGCTCACCGGAAACGCCTCCGCTGCCGCCGCTGCCGCTGCCGCTGCGGCGCCCGGGGACGTTCGAGATTGGCCGCCGCCGGCACCAGTGCGCTCTCCTGCCGTGACCCACCGCCGCGTGATGCGGTCGTCTTCGTGCGACGGCTTGGTGGAGACGGTGAGCAAAGCTTTCGACGTGCGGTACCCAAAAAAGTGTCGGTATGGTGTTCGGTTTATGTCTTACTGCTGCTAACAGCGGCAGCAGAATGGAAGCAGCAGTAGGACTCCAGCAGCATCACCTCTGCTTTGCAGTACAGTCAGCCGCGGGGTTGCTTTCGGTTGCTTGCTTTGCGCATATCTTCACAGCAGCTAACCTGAGACAACGACTGCTTTGGAATGTGGAGCTACCGTTGGCGCGCGAATTCGTAAGCTCGTCTCCCCCCCGCCCCCTCCCCCCCCTCTAGAAGACTACTGTAGCCCCCGGGTACGTGTGAAGACTCGTCCTGTCTAGCCCTGTGCTCATTGCAGGGCGCGCTTAATCAGCACGAGCATCACATCACTGCTGTCTCAAGCGATGTGCGATGTCGATCAAATGCATAGGGGGTTGAAAGAAGTGAACAGATTTTTTCTGTCGATTATGTATGACCGCCGCTACTACTGTACACTGTACCCTTCTTCTACTGCAGTACTGCTGTTACTGCCCGTTTCCAGTTAGTTCACTCAAACGCGTTCGGTGTTTTTCTTCCTGTGGACAACCCTCTCGTTTGTTCTGCCCAGGTTGCAACAACGATGAGCAGCAAGCGCGAGGCTGCCGCCGGTCGTCACCCACCATCGTCATCGGTAGCAGGAGGTACCGGACAGAGCAGCAACAGATCCGCTTGGCATGATGCCCGGAAGATCAGCAACGGGAACGGCCGGGGCATCATCGTGGCGGGGCGGCCGTTGGGGGGGGGGGGAGGGGGTGGCAAGTCCCCGAAGCCTCCGAGGAAGCAGCTAGCGCTGTCGCCCTCCACGCCCGGTAGTCGACCCAGAGGGGGCGACTGGGACCGAACAGGACCGTCGACTCCCCCACCCCCGCTGCCGCCGCCGCCGCCGCCGTCGCACCAGCCCCAGCAACACCAGCCTTTAACGGCAGTGCCGTTGGCGGTTTTGCAGCAGCAGCAGCAGCAGCAGCAGCAGCAGCAGCAACAACAGACGGTTGCGCATCCCCATGCCCACTTGAGCCATCGATACTCGCCCTGGGACGGGACTGTTCACGTGTCGCCAGTGTCTCCAACCCGCCAGCAGCAGCAGCAGCAGCAGCAGCAGCAGCAACAGCAGCAGCATCAGCAGCGGCTGGGCCAGCGGCAGCAGCAGCATCAGCCGGCGGCCACGGCGTACGAGGCCGTGTACTGGAGGCAGCAGCCGTCGCCGGGCAACATGCCCCCGCAGCATCGCCCGTTGCACGTCATCCTTACCCCCGCGGAGCACCAGATGATCATGCAGCACCAGCAGCACCAGCGCGAGCAGCATCATCAGCGCGAGCAGCAGCATCAGCGCGAGCAGCAGCATCAGCGCGAACAGCAACACCTGCAGCAGCAGCAGCAGCAGCAGCAGCAACAGCAGCAGCAGCAGCAGCAGCAGCATCAGCATCAGCGAAATCAACACCGAAATCAGCAGCTGCACCAACGTGAGCAGCAGCCACGACCCCGGGAGCCGCTGCAACCTCGAGAACACCAGCAGCAGCAGCAGCAGCAGCAGCTTCAGCAACATCAGCGGGGGCGGGCGCGAATAGAGACAAGCAGGAATGGGCCACAAGGCCAAGGGCCAGCGGGAGGGGCAAGAGGCCGAATGGAGCCAGGTGAGGTTTTCCTCGCAAGCTGCTGGAAAGGCGCGTTGAGCCTTTGCTACAACGTCCTGGGCGGGCGTTGTTATTTTTTTTTTTCGCTCAGAGGTTCCACCCCGATGTGCAAGCACGCAGGCAGTGCCACGTTCTTGTGCTTTTCGTTGGTCCTTGTTCTGCTATCAAACCACGCCAGCTCCTCTGCTGAAACCGTAGACCCAAGTGCAAACCCAGCCTCGCAACGGTCATGGCGTGCGTCTCAGCCGCCTCCATTCGTGAGACCTGGTACAGACAAGTTCCGAGCATGTCACAATATCCTCCAGTACAGTACTTGGGGTTGGGGGGTTCGAATTCCTGGAGGCGCTGGTCGCTCTCGGCTTTGTTTGAGCAAGAGGGTGGTGATTGTTTGGGCGTTCTCTTCTACATCCCAAATCAGCTATATTACTGCTGTTGTTCTAGATTCATCCGGGGCATTTGTTGCGTCTGGACAGATATATGCAAACCACGCTCAATCTCAATGCCGGCCCGTGACCTGTTTTGATATATCATACTTGTACGTGCGTGTCGGGCAGTTGCGATACCGTCCTTGGCGTTCTCAAGAGGGGCGTTCAAAATACTAGGATCCCTGATAGCGTGCACCATTTCGTAATCTTGCTCGTTTCTTTCTGCTGTCTCTGCCGTAACAACACAGGTGCCCAGGGACGGGGGTCAGGAGGCGGCGGACGGCGGCCGAGCCCCGCTCGCCACCCCCACGATGCCGGCGGTGGCGGTCATAGACCGCTCAGCCCGCCCCCCTCCGGCATGAGACGATCCCCGTCTCAGGGGACCCTTGAATGGACCCAACAGCAGCAGCAGCAGCGCCACCAGATGAACGGCGGGGGCGGCGGGGCGGGCGGAACGAGGCACCGCACCTTGCCAAGGCCGGTCTACTACCCAGCACCGGGCACGCAGGCGGCCGCGGTGGCCGGCCCCGGCGGCATCCCGGCGGGGTCTATTCTTGGGCCCGCAGCATTCCAGCCCCACCCGGAGCCGGGGGGGCACGTGATGCACCTCGGGCTTCCCCCGGGCTCCGTCCCGATCCTGTCGATCGTCTCGCCCTCCATGTTCTCGCCGTACGCCGTGCTGACGCGAGTTCCCATGCACGGCGGCAGGGGCGGGAACGGCATAGTGCCGCCGGCGAACGGCGGGGCGGTGCCGCCGCCGGCAAGCCGCGGGGTGCCCCCCCCGGCGAATGGCGGCGTGGTGCCCCCCCCGGTGAAAACTGGGGTGCCTCCTCCGACCAACGGCGGCGTCGCGGTCGGTGTGCCGACGACCGGTGCCCCCCTCCCCGGTGGTAGGGCGGCGGCGGCGGCGGTGGCGGCGGCGGCCAATGGCGCTCCGCCAGGCAACGATGGTTTCGCTGCAGCAGCCACCGGGAGCTCCAACTCGAGCGGCACTCCCCCCACCGGATCTCCTGTTACTTCTCCTCGTCGCGCTACGGCTGCCACCGCAAACACCGCGCCCCGCACTCCTGTTGCCGACCCTAGCGGCAGAGCGACGGCAAGCGGCGGCAGCGGTGGCCGCCGAAGCGGACAGGCTCACGGCAGCGACCGCGGCAACGGAAAAATCGGCGGCGGCGGCGGCGGCACCATCCTATTCCGAGTCCACAACCACGCGCACCCGTCGTCGCTGCCGGCGGTGGGGGTGGAGCTTGGCAGTAGCAGTAGCAGCAGCAGCAGCAGCAGCAGCGGCAGCAGCCGAGCAAGAAACAAGCCGCGCGGGCTGAAGGTTGTCGCGCAGCCTCTGGGGGCCACCCCTGACAACCGTCTCGAAGTCATGGCGCTGGCCCCGTCGCTGGAGAAGAAGCGGCGCATGGAGGGTCGGTTCGCGGTGGCTCAGCAGCACCAGGAGGCGCCCCCGCCAAGCCCTGACCTCGCCGGCAGCTGCGGAGGCGCTGGTGCCGGCGGTGCCGGCGGCGGCGGTAAGGAGGACGTGGAGGCCGCGACAGGGGTGGACCTTGGCTGTTTCCGCGCTCAGAAGCAGCAGCAGCGGCAGGAGGTGGAGACAAAAAGAAAAGAAGAAGTCGTTGCTGCTGATGTCGCCGTTGACGGCTGGGGGCCGCGGCAAGACACCGGGCCCGTCGAGGGGGGCTGGGGCGACTGCTGTATCCCGGCGGTGGCGGCGGCAGTAGACGAGGAGAACGCGAGCGCCAGTAGTAGCAGCGCAGGGACGGCCTCGAGCGTGGAGCGAGGACAGGCAGCGGACGAGATCGGTGGCGGCGGCGGCGGCGGCGGCTGGGAGGCCACGGAGTCCTCGACGTCGTCATCCGAGGAGGCCGGGGGCTGGGGTATGGCAAGCGGCGGGGGCGGTGGCGGCGGTGCGAGCAGTGTTTGCGGCGTCAGCGAGAGCGGCAGCAGCAGCAGTAGCATGGCGGTGAGCACTGACGAGCAGGGAGAGGAGGGGCAAGAGGAGGCGCGATGGGCGGAGGAGCTGAAGAGCAGCGTTGGAGTGGTGACGGATCTTGTCTTGCCGTGCCAGGGCCGGGATGGTGCCGGGGTGGACGGCGTGGGAATAGCAATAGAGGAGGGGGGGGAGGAAGAGGAGGGGGGGGAGGATGAACGAGAGATGGCTGCCGCTCTTGAGGTGAGAATGACTGTTTTTTTTTTTGCCGTGACTGTTTTTTTTGCCTGTGGAAATTGTCGTTGTTCATGCTGTTCGGGCCTGTTTTGTTGTGTTGTTTTCAAGTGCTCCCTGGTTGAAACAGCGGCATCAGGTTTCGTTCGATTCCTCTATTCTGTGCACACACAACACAGCAGCAGTGATACAGTACCTAATAAAGTACATTTTGTTGGAGTTCACGTAAACGGAAATACACAAATGTTGTAATTGGTGGTGGTGGTGGTGGCGTTCGTCCTGTGGTGGCTTGCTTACACTCTCATTGGCTGCTGGTTTTGCGGGCCGAGGCTCTTGTGTTGGACTGCCTGTACTGGCTCGGTACGTCGTCTGGGCGGTGTTTTCCCGCAGCAACGTAATTTCAAGCGGCGTACGTGCCCAGTGTAGTTTTGTCTTTCTTGCAAGTGCGTTGACATCAAGCACTGACGGGGGTGAGAGGACACCACAACATGAAATCTCCCACGCTGGCAGCAGCAGTAGGAGCAGCATCCTTGACCCGACCAGGGTCGTGGCCAAGTTACTCTGAATGCACCCACCCACCCAATGCTACTGTACTGGTGATTGGTGATTGGAGGAGCATGGTGACTCGTGTTGGACGTGAAAAAAGTTGTGCGCATGCGCGTTCGCGCGAGCACAAGTAAACGGCGGATGGATAGATGGCCAACGGGTGTTGGCTGCCCGTCTCCCCCTCTTGTCCTGGTTGGACATGAAAGCAGTTTCTTGAGTTAGGCAAATACTGCTGTTTCGTTGTAGTCTTTTGTTGCTGTGCGAAACTACCGCATGCATACGAGTACCCTTCCTAGTCCTTGGTTTTGACTCCTTGCGTTGGTACATGTGTATCGTGGCTCACGTGTAGTCACCTCCCCCCCTCGCCTCCGCCGCCAAATGTCACAAACAAAAAATGCCGTTGACGTCTGCGGTGCAAATGCAGGCTATCTACGAAAAGGGGCGGGAGCAGCTGAAGCGTCACGCCGAGGTGCACGGAAAGGAAGCGCGGCAACGAGCGACCGACGCGTGGCTGGCGAGCCGCACCCCTCAGCAGCAGAGCGACTACAGGGAGCGAACCCAGCCGCGGACAGCGCGGCGGCAGCACCAGCAGCACCAATTGCAGCAGAGATAACGACAGTCCCCCCGTACCCCTACTCCACCCCTACTCCTTCCTACCCCAACTTCCACCCCTAACACGCTCGGCTCAAGTCGGGGAAGTACGCGCCGTGTCCTTCCCTCCCGAGAGAGCGCGCGCGGCGGGCGGTGCACCCCCTCCCCCCCCTTTTTTTTTCGTGAAGAGGCGTCACCCTCCGGCGAGCGGAAGCAAACCGACGCTTTCGTGGGGTGGTCTCTGTTTCGGCAGCGACGGCGGCGACGGTGCCCGCCATGACGACAATGACGGTGACGCGACTTGCGACTCTTTGCGGGTGTGCGGGGGGGGAGGCTTGGTCGATTTGCTTGGTTATTCTTTCGGTCGACACGGACGGCACGGCTGAGATGCTTGCGTGCACTTGCGCGTGTCGTTGCTCTGCTGGTCTTGGTCTGCTGCTCCTGGTCCCTGGCGTCGTTTTGTTTATCCTCGAGCGAAACCAGCTATTTCTAGCTCCTGCTGCCGCGACTGTTTGCCGGTGGGCATGAATGACCCAGCGCGACGTCGTGCGGTTGACTCAGCGATGCGAGACTTGAGAGACGGCGCTGCTGAGGGAGCGGTGCGGTGCGGCGACTATCAGGCACCCGGCCTGGCCTCTGGGATGCGGTCGGTCGGTCGGTCGGTCGGTCGGATCAAGCTGGAAGGGTGGGGGGAGGGATGGAGGAAGGGAGGGAACGGGCCGGAAAGGGGAGAGGGGGGGCTGTTATTTGCGACTATCTCTGGCGATGGTTTCTTGGCGGAGCTGAGCCTTGGAGGAATGGTGTCTAGTTTTTTTGTGTGGGATAGAGTGAGTGGGACGACAACGAGAGAGTACTTTTTCTGCGGTGGTTTTGGTTTGGCCGCTTCGTGGCTTTTTCGTTGTTGTTTTTTTTTACTGAAGTTTTGCCTTGTGTTTGGCGGGTGGTGCGTGTGCTTTGTTTTGTTTCTGTGTTTTTTTTGTTGCGTGTAAAGTGTATCCTGCTTGTCCGTGGGCATGGGTGTCGCAAGACCCGTCCGTCCGACCACGCAGCATCCATTGTAGTAGAAAAGAAGAACGGAGGCGGGAAAGAGGGAAGAAAGGCGGAGCGAGGTAGAGAAAGTACACACACCGAAGGAAGAGACGCGGGCCGAAGCAGGCGTGCTTGCTTTTGTTGTGAGCGAGAGGTGCACATGTCTACGCACAAGATTGCGTTCGCTAGTGTTGGTAGGGAGGAACTTAGTTCTTTGCGGTGGTTTCTGCGGGTTCTCTGCCTGCCTGTCTGTCTCTGTCTCCCTCTTTCTCTCTCTCTGTCTCTTTAGTGCGCGTCCTTTTAAGCCAAACCTGCTGCACTGCAGTTGAGGGTGCGTGTACGACACAAGCAAAAAAAAGTGAGGCGTCAAGCAGAGCCAGAAACATGCGTTCGGTCGGTTTGAGTTACTACTGCGAGACGACGTTTCGTTTGTGGTGGTAGTCGATGGGGGTGGCGGCGGAAGGTTAGTTGGATTTAAGACAGTTGGCCTTAAAAGTAGGTGTGTTTAAGACCTGAATGAAAGGAGCCGGGGGGCAGGGGATGGCTGAGTTTGGCGGGGCCGGGGAAGTCTTGCTCGGCGCCGGTTTATTTGGGCAGGGGCGCGGCGGCGGCGGCGAATACAGGATAAAAGGGTATATAGCTGTGTACTGTACACGACTGCAGTTACCACGAATGCATGCATGCATATTGGACGTAGACTTTTGGACGTGATTAACGCTCGAGATTGTTCGCTTGTGTCCGGTCGCGTTTTAGTGGTTGCGGCGAGAGAGAAGGAGGGGGCGGTATTTGACCCACATGGCAAGCATCGAGATGATTTGCTTCGCTCGTGTGTTTCCTGGGTCGCGTACGGAGGCCCACCCAATGACCTGGTTTCCTCAGGCTTGTTTCGGTAAGGAAGGGTGGGTGGAGAGAGTGCCATGTACTTTACCGGCAACACTGTTGACTTTTTTTTTTTCTGTAGTCTTCCGTGTTTGTGCCGCCCGCGATTCAATGCGGGCGATCAATCGGTTTTACCGTCACGTTGCTGATGTACGCTGGGGTTGTGGCATCGTAAAACCTGGACCTACGAGTGGTACGGATCGTCCTATGCTACGTGGTTGTCACCAAGAAAGTCTTGGTCTGTCCTTTTTTTGATCCGCGAAGGTCCGTGCGTTTCTTTTGACTGCACATGTAGGGTGCGCCTCTGTGTCTCTACCCCCCCCCCCCCCCCCCCTCGTTCCACACCGTATTGTAGTCGCGGTGTCTGCAGCCTGTGTTGTATTCTCACCGCCTGTGCAGTCGTGCTCGATTGTAGCTCTTGTGACTTTTCGGTCAGGGTCGGTGTGTGGGACTTGGTGCCCCCAAACGTCGACGTGGGTTTGCCCTTTAGCTTGGTTTTTGGGTCATGATAGCTTTCGTTGGAGTTCGCCCCCGCCGCCTTCAGGGCGACCATGATTTCTACCGCGAGTTGGTCTCGGCATAGTGCGGAGCGAGCAAAGGTAGCGAACCGTTTGTTCGTGGGCAGGTCTCGCACAGGCCACGGCAGCAGCAGGATGTGTTGAAACTCCCACCGGTGGCGTGAGCGTGCCCGAGTGTACCCTTTTTCGCCCTCAGCGCTTTTGTTGTGTTGTGGATGGGCGCGGGTCCCGCCGCTGTGTTTGTTTTCTCCTTCTCCTCCTCTTGTGTCTCTTCTCCGTCCGACTGGGACAAACCGGGGCTGGCCGGCCGCTCTCTGCTTGGAAAAACGAACGTGGTGTATGTAGTGTTTTTCTTTTTTGTTTTTTTTTCGTTTATTTTGTGTTTGTGCGTGTGTTTGTTCTCTCTCTCGTGTGGTGTGTGTTTTTTGGCAACATCCCGCCCGCCAGCAGGGCGCGCGCGTCGTATGAAACGGCGTGGCCGCCTTCTCCTTGCTACCGTTCGTTCCGTCATCGATGGACGGACGCACCGATCTTGATTTTATTCTGTTTTTGTTGTGGTGCCCCAGGCTTGTCCGTTTTTTCGAGCCTCTCTTTCTCTCTCTCTCTCTCTCTCTCTTTCTCTCTCTCTCTCTCTCTCTCTCTCTGTCTTGTCCGATGACCGATTTACACTCTGGCCGGGATCTAGTCTATTTGGCGATGTTTAGTTCGCCGGTACGTGACCGTCAACGTTCCGTGGGGTGTAGGGGAGGGGAGGGGTCGTTGCTGGCCGCGGAGTTGTTTGTCGCACCGGCCAAGTGAGCAGCAACCCCTCAGCTACGATCATGTCATGTCTCTCTTCCTTGCCGGCTGGCTGTGTGTATTTGTGTGTGTGCGGGTCGTGTGTTGGTTGTCTGTCCATCCCCCTGACTTGGTTCATTTTTTGAATGGATTTTTTTCTACACGTCCTGGCATTCCCGCGTGGTAGGTGAAGGGAGACGCGGCAGGGAGGCGGGGGAGCGTAGACAAGGTGGTGACCTGTTTTGATTGATTGTTGCCCTGCGTCGGGCGTATTTTCGCCACCATGGCAATCAAGAAACAACACGAGTAACCTTA